GAATTCTACCAGACATTTAAAGAAAACCTCCAACCAATACTATTTTTTTTAATTTTTTATTTTTATTTTATGTGTATGCATGTATTGCCTGCATGCAGGTAAGTCCACCTGTGTTGTGCAATGCCCATGGAGCACAGAAGTGGCTGTTGGATCCCCTGGAACTGGAATTAGGACAGTTGTTAGTTGACATGTGGGTGCTGGGATTCAAACCTGGGTCTTCTGCAAGAACAACCAGTGTTCTTAACTGCTGAATTATCTCTCCATCCCCCACCAATACTAATTAAATTATTCAAAATGATAGAAACAGAGGGAGAACTTCCAAATTCCATCCATGAAGCCAGCATCACTCTAAATCCCAAACCGGATAAAGACACAACCAAAAAAGAAAACTATAGAACCATATCCTTAATGAACATGGATACATAAATTCTCAAGAAAATACTTCAAACTGCATGCAGACACACATCAAAAAGATCATTCACCATGATCAAGTAGGCTTTTTCCCAGAGATGTAGGGCTGGTTCAATATATGCAAGGCAATAAATGGCTTAATAATATAAATGAACTCAAAGACAAAAACCACATTGTCACCTCAAAAGAGGCAGAAAAGGCTTTTGACAAAATTCAGCATGAATTTATGTTCAAAGTCCTAGAGGGAACTGGACTGGAGGGGGAACATACCTCAACATAGTTAAAGCCACATACAAAAAACCCACAGCCAACATCATTCTAAATGGAGAAAAACTGGAAGCATTTCCATTAAAATTAGGAATCAGACAAGGATGTCCACTATCTCCACTTCTTTTCAATGTAGTGCTTGAAATTCTTGCTAGAGCAATAAGACAGGAGAAGGACATTAAAGGAGTACTAACTGGAGAAGAAGAAATCAAACTATCACTTTTTGCAGATGATTTGATACTATACCCAAGAGATCCCAAAACTTCCACCAGAAAACTCCTAGAACTGATCACACTTTCAGTATAGTGGCGGGTTATAAAATCAATCTACAAAAATCAGTAGCCTTTATATACCAATAACAAGCGATTTGAGAAACAATACAGGGAAATGCCCCCATTCACAACTGCTGCAAAAAATAAAATAAAATATCTTGGAATAAATCTGACCAAAGACACCAAAGATCTCTACAATGAAAACTTTACATCATTACAGAAAGAGATTGAGGAAGACACCAGGAGATGGAAGAACTCCCATGCTCACGTATTGGAAGAATTTATATTGTGAAAAGCAATATATAGATTCAAGGCAATCCCAATCAAAATCCCCATGACATACTTCACAGAATTAGGAAAAACCACCCTTACATTAATATGGAAGCACAAAATACCCTGAATAGCCAAAGCAACACTGAACACAATGATCTGCTGGGGGGATTACTATACCAGATCTCAAAGTATACTACAGAGCTATAGTCATAAAAACAGCATAGTAGTGGCACAGAAATAGACACATAGATCAATGGAACATTGTTGAAGATCCAAACCCAAGTACACACAATTTCAGCCACCTGACACTTGACAAAGGTGCCAAGAACACACAATGGAGGAAAGATAGCATCTTCAACAAATGGTGCTGGCAAAACTGGATCTCCACCTGTAGAAGAATGAAACTAGATCCTTATCTTACATCTTGCACAAAAGTCAACTCCACATGGATCAAAAACCTCAATGTGAAACTGGAAACCCTGAAACTATTAGAATAAAATATTGGAAGTAACTTACAAGATATAGGTGTAGGAAAGGACAGAAGTTGCTCAGGAATTAAGGTCAGCAATCAACAAGTGGGACCTCTTTAAACTAAAAAGCTTCTGTACAACAAAAGAAACAATCAAAAAAGTGAAGAGAAAACCCAGAGAATGGGAAAATATCTTCAACAATGACACATCTGACAGAGGTTTAACATCCAGAATATATAAAGAGCTCAAAAAACAAAGAACTGAGAAACCAAATGACACAATAAAAAAATGGGCTAAAGATCTAAACAGAGAGTTCTCAAAGGAAGAAATAAAGATGGCTAAGAAACATCTCAAAAAGTGTTCAACATCGTAAGTAATTAAGGAAATGCAAATTAAAACCACCCAAAGATATCACCTTACCTCAATCAGACTGGCTAGGATCAAGAGAACAAAGGATACCAAATGCTGGCAAGGATGTGGAGAAAGGGGAACACTCATTTACTGCTGGTGGGATTTCAAACTCATGCAACCCCTATGGAAAACAGTGTGGAGAACTCTTAGAAGACTAAAAATGAACTTACCATGTGGCCCAGTTATACCACTCCTTGGCATATACCCAAGAGACTCATCCTATTGGACAGACACTTGTACAACCATATTTGTTGCTGCTCT